CATCAGAAATTAGTGAAGCAGGAGATGATATTGGAACAATTGATGAAATAGAAGAAAAACCATTTTTTAGTATGCCATTTATATTAAAAGTTTTACGATTAAATGCTCCGGAATGGATTTATCTTTTATTTGGTGCTATTGCTTCACTTATTTTTGGTGGAATTATGCCGGTTTGTAAATAATTTGTGATTTGTTTTATTATTATTATAACTATTATTTATTTTAGGCATTTTCTTTAGTTTTTTCTCAAGTATTTGGTGCATTAGCAGAAACAGATCCAAATAAACAAGAAGAACAAATACGTACTTATACATATGTAATTTTTTTAATTGGTCTTGCTGGTGGAATAAGTCAAATCATATCATCAGTTACTTTAGCTAAAGCTGGAGAAGAATTAACAATGCGTATGAGAATATTATCTTTTAAAACTATTCTACGCCAAGAAATTGGATGGTTTGATATAGATGAAAATAATTTAGGAGCATTAGTAACACGACTTTCATCTGATGCAGCATCACTTAAAGGATTTACTGGTCCAACGTTTGGTGTTATTCTTAGTGCAGTGGGTGCATTAGTCACTGCTCTTGCTATTAGTTTTGAAGCTGGATGGAAACTTACATTAGTTATTCTTTGTTTTACTCCATTAATGGTTTTTACAGGTCTTATTCAAGGTGAACAATTTTCTAAAGCAGCTGGAGATAAGAAAGACTCATCAACTGCTGCTGAAGAGGGAGGAAAAGTATGTTTATTTATTTTAATATATACTTTCCCATGTGGTAAAAACTGTCGATATTTGTTAGTTAATCGCATTTTACCGGCAACTTTTCTTCAGATAAAATCGGTCGCTTCTACTTGATACCAAATATAGAGAAACTAGCATCTTTTTTCCAGCAAATTGTTTAATTCTCGCATTTGCTTATGCAGTGTGGCGTGCTTAGTCCGCCAGATACATCAACATAGCTTGAAAATGTTTCCTACTCAGGCTTTAAAGCTTCGTCTTGATTTGGTGAAACACGATCTAAAAGGAGTGTCGAAGTATATAGGGTAGAAATTTGGACCTGCTCCTCCCGCAGACCATCACAGATAATTTAATTAATTAATTACTGGCTGATTAATCAGTTACTAGCTAATTAATTAATTACTACCTAATTAATTAAATAATTAATTAATCATTACAGACCGTGACAGATGGTTTGAAATGGCTACCTAAGATTATGTAGAAGTTACATCTATTTGGAATATATACGAAGTATTTGCTTGTTGAAGTTCTATATTGTAAAGTAAGGAATGATGAAGAAATATATCGTGACATACAGAGAAAATATCAGTTTTTATAGGCTTGGATACAATAGTTAGATCATGTTTCACATTTCAATCCCGCAGAGATTGCGCTAACAGCTTTTTTTATTGGTCACAAGTGCAGGGTTCCCGATTAGGCGGGGGGGGGGGCAGGGATGGGCTTTCCTTCTCCAAAATTTCAGACTTTCTGCCATAATTTTTGATAATACTTTCTGCGTAAATTTTAAGTTCAGTTCAGCAGAAAGCTTCTGCATTTGCTGGAATAAAATTAAACCAAAAATGCTTTCTGCCAAATTTTTAGCCCCCCTCCTCTCCACTCCCAAAAATAATTGGGAACCCTGCACAAGTGATAAATCAAGTCTTCTACAACTGTTATACATTTCAAAGAAGAATGAATTCAGTTGTTTGTTGAATAACTCCGCAACGCTGATACCTATCGAGCTTGAGTTTTCGCCGTTAGAAAGAGCACAAGTGAGGGTACAAGTCTACCTGAGAATCAAAATACTTGGAAAGTTTTCTAGAGAGTTCCAGGAATTTTTTGGAAAATCACTGTCTAATTCACTTGATTAGCTGTATTTTCAAGTGAAATTGAAAATTCAATATTTCGAGAAAGGAAGACCTCTTTTAGCTAAAACTTATAGGATATTCTATGGATCATTAGAGCTATCTCTAGGCAAATTTTCAGGTCGAAATTCTGTAATTTTATTTTCTCATAAATATTTAGGAAAGGGTCGACAAATTCAGTAAAAATAGTCATCATTTTTTAAGAAAAGATCGAAAATACCTAAAAATTTCGGAGTTTATAAAGTAGACATTGGGCTACAATATGGCGAAATTGAAACTGAAAATACAGCTAATCAAACGAATCAAACAGTGGTTTTCCAAAAAATCTCTGGAACTCTCTAGAAAACTTTTCAAGTATTTTGATTCTCAGGTAGACATGTACTCTTCCTCTAATGCTCTATCTAGCGACGAATACTCAAGCTCTATAGGTACCAGTGTTACCAATTTATTCCACAAATAATCGAGTTCATTCTTTTTTAAAACGGATAATAGTTCCTACCCGCTTAGAAACGCTAGATACACTGGAAATAAATATCATCTTGATTATCAAAAGTTTATTGTCTTAGACATCATCATCCGAGAACTGTATGAATAACAATCTCTAAAAATATAGTTTTGCTAATAATATCTCTTTGTATTTTAGTTTTTTCTTGTTCATTTTGCTATTGAATGAGTATAAATATAATTCATATATTGAACTAGACTATCAGTTATTTTTAATTTATGAAAAACAAGAAAATAGTATTTTTAACAACTGTTTCGATATGGGATCTACCGTTAACACTACTTCGATATTTGTAACATGCATTAATAATTAAATATATTGTTTTTTTCTTCTAGTATGCAACACAAGCTATTGAAAATATTCGTACAGTTGTATCACTTCACTTAGAAGATAATTTTATTCAATTATATGAAGAAGCATTTGATCGTGATTTTCGGTATGTTAAAGCAATATTTTCAATAAACTTATTTTATATTATTATTATATTTCAGAAATCGTATGTTATATCTTCATTATATATCTTTTGCTAATGCTCTTGCTAATTCATTGATGTTTTTTAGTAAGATATTATTTGTTTTTAAGAAAAGAAAAGAAAGATGATTTATTTCTATTTTAATATCTAGTTCATGCAGCATCATTTGGTTATGGTGTTAAACTTATTCAAGATAAAGATATGACTTTTGATTCTGTCTTTCGAGTATTTAGTGTTATTACTTTTGCTGCAATGACAATTGGACGTAGTGCATCTATGGCACCAAGTTATGCAAAAGGCAAAGCTAGTGCTCGACGTATTCTTGATTTAAATAAACGTGAATCAAAAATTGATCCTGAAGATTCATCTGGAATTACACTTGTAAAAATTTTGTTTTTTTGTTGTAATTTAATTATTTATTATTTTATCTTTATTTTTAGTCTAATACAAATGGAAATATTGAATTTCGAGATGTTCGATTTCGTTATCCAGCTCGACCAAAACTTCGTATATTACATCGTTTTAATTTAAATTGTAATTCAGGTGAAACAACAGCACTTGTTGGTCCATCGGGTAGTGGAAAATCGACAACTGTTGCATTAATACAACGTTTTTATGATCCACTTACTGGTACAGTTCTTCTTGATGGACATGATATAAAAACATTAAATATTCAATGGTTACGTTCATTACTTGGTCTTGTACAACAAGAACCTGTTCTTTTTAATCTTTCAATTCGTGATAATATTGCTTATGGTGATAATAATCGACAAGTAACACAAGATGAAATTGAAGCAGCAGCACGAAAAGCAAATATTCATGATATAATTACATCATTACCTGAGGTTAAATTCAAATTTCTTTTTGTTTTTTATTTTTGTAATGTAAATTTTGTCGTTTAGGGATATGGAACTTCGTGTGGTGCTAAAGGTGGTCAATTATCTGGTGGACAAAAACAACGAAGTAAATAATGCTTTTTTTAATAAAACAAAAATATTGTTTTTTGATTTCTTTTTTTAGTTGCTATTGCTCGAGCTCTAGTTCGTAATCCAAAAATTCTTCTTCTTGATGAAGCAACATCAGCATTAGATAATAAAAGTGAAAAAATTGTTCAAGAAGCATTAGATCAAGCACGAACAGGTCGAACATGTTTAACAATTGCTCATCGTTTATCAACAATTCGAAATTCTGATAAAATTTGTGTTGTTGATCGTGGTCAAATTAAAGAAAGTGGACGTCATGAACAATTACTTCAACAACAAGGTATCTATTATAAATTAAATATGGCTCAAGAACGTCCAGAAAATGAAAAAGTCAAATAATATTGATCTTTTTGTTTGTTTGTTTGTTCGTTTTCATTTTTAGAAAATAAATCTGTTTACATATTCAATTGCTTGACTTATCTTTTGAATAATTACATAAAACCTTATTGTGATGCAAACAACGAAAAAAGATAACTATAGATGTTTATAGTAGGGTGTGGGTGTGGGTAGATTAAAATAATTAACATCTTACGATTCAATTATTAAATATGAAAATTCACAAAGATTTATTAAATATTAGAAAATAAACAAATTAAATGTTATTTTCATCAAATATAAATCTATTCTTTTATATTCGTTTTCTCTTCCGTGTGATCAACAGACACAACAATACTATCATTTATAGGATATAATACAATTATGAGAGCGTTATGATATAGTCAAATTAATCATGAGAAGCTAAAATCTGTCAATCGAAAACTATTCTGTTCATTATTCTTCTGTTGCCGAATCAGATTCAAAATCAGTTAGTATAGGTGCTTCGTCCATGTTTCCATCTCCATCGATACTTATACAATAAGTTATAGCATAATTCAAACGATCATACATAATATCAATCGTTGAATATTCAGGTAAATCAAGAACAAATGTACATGTATGAGCTCCTAAAATTACAAAAAATTGAAAATTATTTCTGTAAGATATGAAATGTTAATGTCATTATTAATGAAATTGTAAGTATATGAGACTTACTTGGAAGTGCTCCATCGATTAATTCATTCGATAGAATATATGGTTCAATACGAAATTTTGTTCCAAAATCATCATCACAATTTGATAATGTACATCGTCCCCAAACAAATTTTAAAAATAATTTTTTCTGTTCTACATTGAACATTTCTCTTAGAATTGTCCAAAATCGTTGAATAGTAAGTAAATCTTTATTATAATGACCACCATACATAGTATTTCGTTTTAATAATTCTACATCTATTTCTCCTTTTCCACATACCATTTCTTCAAGTTCACTAGCTGTAAATAAACCTAGAAAATAACCTGGAACAATACTATATAAACCTTGACGAATACATTCAATTTGTCGAAAAAATTCATTTAAATGATATTCACGATAACTTGAACAATAATCTTTGAAATTAGAAATTGTTATTGGAATATTTTTACCATTTGGAACAAGTTCATAAGTTTGTCCATTTGAACTAAGAACTTCAAATCGAAGTTCATCTAAAATACTACTAAGAAATTCATTCATATCAATTGATGAATTATTTTCTTTTATAGATTTTTCCATTTGATTAATCATTGTAAAACATTGTATATCAATATTTTCAATATCTTCAATTGTTATCTGTTCACGAACTAATTGTTTCCATAATAAATTAGGAAATTTTAAATCTAAATAATGTTTCTTTCTTATAGCCATACCCATTAATTGTCCAATAAATTGATATTGTTTTTTAATTCGATTTGGTATAAATTCATTTGGTGGATATATATTTGGAATCCAACAATCATCATTTAAACCACTATTTGTTCGACCATTTGGACATAATATAAATAATGATAATCGTGTACTACATATATCAGAACAAATACGTGTAATAGAATCACGATATGGTCCACCTTGATCAGTACTATGCATAGCAAGATATTGTGCACGCCATAATTGATTACATTCATTTCGAAATGTTATATATGCATTATTATATAATTGTTCAAAAGCTTGATTAAACATTGTAGATTTATTTGAATTTGTTTCAACTGTTTGAAAATTAACTGTAGGTATATCATTAATATTTTCTAATGAAGTTATAGTTACAGTTGTATCGAAGAATTTCGATTTTGTTTCATATAATATATATGATTTAACTTGTTGAATTTTATTTGTAAGAATACTTTGTTCAGGTAATAGACTAAGATCAATAAATGAAATTAATTTTTCAAAAATTATATTAAATTCATAGATAATTTTAGCACGTATTTGAATATAAATAGCTGGAATATGCCATAAAGATGGATAAGATTTATAATATAATGAATTTGGTATAGATTCATTTGGTAAACTATTAATAAATTCAATAAAAGATATTTTTAGAAGTTCATTATTATTCATAAAATGAATTAATTGTAAATCAGATATTGTATTAAAATAATTATTTGATTTTTCAATATCATCTCTAGTTAATTGAAGATTTTCACCTAACAAAATAATTGATTGTATAATAAATATTTCTGGAAATGGTGTATGTTTTGTTTTATCAGTTAAAGCTTTAATAATATCAATCATCATTAATAGATCATGAAAACTTTTCGGTAATTTAAATAATTCATTGGTTATATCTGTTGATGATATTAATTGATATTTTTGTTTTTCAATTAAAAGATAAATTAAATCCATAATAACTATTTGAAATGTTCTCATTGTTTGAGTATTTATTGAAGTAGAATTTGGTGGTAATTCAATAAATAAATGAAATAAAAAATTTTGTATATTTTTATTTAAATTGAAATTATGACTTATTTGAATTAGACTAAAAGAAAAACAAGAGAGTTTCTAATAATTAATTGTTTTATAGATGTTGTTTGAATATCATTCAATTGAAAACATAAATACTTTTTATATACAAATGTTTAATATGAGATTCTATGTTATCTGAGAAATTACAGTATGGCATTTCAAACTTATAAACAAATGATGTAAACGATAACAAGCATTAGTTCAGAAAACGAGGATCGATCCCAACAGACTAACACCGATTAAACTACTGTCTGTTAACAAAAAAACTGGTCGTGAGTATTTTTGCAATAACTCGATAATGGCAACGACTTTCATCAACTGAAAGAGTAGAAGTTGAGACATCTTTTTCTCCGATAATGTATAAGACGAAATCCTTTTAAAAGTAATCATCTTCGAAAAACATGCAAACGAATGCATGAAAATGACTTTCTATCTAAATGAAATTTTGATTTTTCCCTTTGATTTAGATAGAGGGAGTCTGAGATCTATAGTTCAAGATACAATGCGCTTTTTTACTTTTCATTACATTTTTATCAAAATTCCACGCTATTATAAAAGTGTGAAAACTTAGTAAAAAAAATCAACAAAATTTCCTATTATTTGCGCATGTAAATATATGATTCCATTTGCTCAATGCTAGAATGTCAAAGGAGAACTATTTGCATTTTATCTTGAGCTATAGATCTCAGGCCTCTCTATCTAAATCAAAGGGAAAAATCAAAATTTCATCTAGATGAAAAGTCATTTTCATGCATTCTTTTTTGCATGTTTTTCGAAGATGATTAATTTTTAAAAGGATTTCGTTTTATACATTGTTGGAGAAAAAGATGTTCCAACTTCTACTCTTTCAGTTGATCAAAGCTGCAGGTCTCTAGCTGTTACCGTTATCGAGTTATTGCAAAAATACTCATGGTCAGTTGTTTTTTAACAGACAGTAATTTTTTGCCTATAAGTAGGCTTCAGTGAGACTATCCTTGCTGTATGTTTGTTCGTACTAGCACCAATATATAGTGCGATAGAACTGCGATCAGAAGATAGCCCATCGTTCAAGTATCAAACTACCGTTGGTTATTCTCCGATTTAAATCGCATGGGTTGTGAAAATCTGAAAGGACAGTTTTTCGAAATTATGCCTATGTTAATTAGTTGTTAGCATCTGTGCACGGTATTAACGAAGACATCAAATGATCAAATTTCGTTTATATGCATGTCTAATGTTACTGAGAAGATGGTGAAAGTTTCAGTCAAAGAATCGAATTTTCCTACAAATTTAGTATCTCAAAAAGAAATAATTCATGTTATTCTGATTATGCTACAAGAAATAATTTTTCGAAAATCGATGATAAATGAAATTTTTCAATTAGAATTAGATGAATCCTTCCATTCTAAATGATCATCGTTTTAGTCCTGCTTTTTAATTATGATTTTTATTCCTTTTCTTGCTTTTTAACTTCTTAATTTATTAGAGAAAAGAATGTGTGAAGTAATTTGAGAAAAAAACTCAATTAAAAACATGAATTTATGCATATGAATGTCTTTTTATCGACTGCGTTCTCAATCAACTACAAAGAATTGCATGCCACATCGATATTTTGTATTTTTGTTACATATTTTATTTATGTACAATAATGTAAACAATTAATTTTTCAATAAAAACATTCTTTTTGACGTACATTAGTCATTGGAGTTTCTCTCTAAAACAGTAGATATCGAGGTTACATGGACAAAATTATTTCTATTATCGATCATAAAGCCACGATTGATCACAAAAACTAGCAATTAATCGTCAAAGTTATAGTGATTTCGAGAACATGGGCTATAACTTCAACAAAGTGGCTCAAAAGCCTTTCTCCTTTCAAAGTTTTACTCGTCTTCCCGAAGCTTACTTATAAGCAAAATATCAATTCAATTGACATTAGTCAGTTGAACATATTTTCTCGTACGTTCAATACTCAGATCTGAATTTTCATTTTTGCTGAAGATTGGATCCACTCGTATCTAATTATATATGAATGTATGCTATTGACTTATTCAAAATTAAAATGTGATTGCTCCATTGACAATTTTAACTAATTAAAATTCGAAATAGGGATGTATAGTTTCAGTTTACTAACCACTGACTCAATGTAGTTAGTACAAACTCACTATAGAGATGTACTGACACATTAGCACTAGTATTCACTGGAACACACCTTTACAAAAAGAGCATATTTTGACATAGTTAGTCAATACTGTACATTCCTAGTTCGAAATCTTACATGGGATGGCAGTATGAATATATTTTTCATAAAATAATGAATAGGATACGTTTTAGATATAAAAAAGTTTAATACATCATTTGATTCAATTAATTATTAATTTTTTTTTTTTGTTTTTAAATATTATTTATTGATGAGAACAATAAAAATTTGACTTACGTAGAAAATAAACGTAGAATAATACATTTATTTTCATGTAAAGGATTTAAAATAAATAGATTGAATAACATATTAATTAAAGATTCTGGAAATAATACTGGCATTAAT